TCAACATTAAGTACCTAATCCGATGAAACATAAATTAAGTACGGAATGCTCAGTATTCAGTATATTTTACTTACAATACAACCATGAAAGTGCATGTTGCACATACTATTTAATATTCTGTACTTCACGTAAATGCGTTCATTGTTTGTATGTATTACTTTTCTGATATTTTTTAATAGGGTGTGTTAGACCAACATTCAAATTTCCGCCATGTTTTTTGTTTACCCTTCGGGTGTTGTTTTTCTGAGCTTGTCGATGAATTCACTGTCTAGATATTTTGACAGCTACGATGCTGTATTTAAATACTTTCTCTCGTGACAACTATTTTATCACTTCTTCGCCTCTAAATATTTCATACGGCGTCTAAGAGCTTGCAATATAAGGGGGTTAGAAGTTTTCGTCATTTAAAAAAGTCATGTCTTCAGTCTAACGAAAACGCATCATAATCCAATAATATTGACAACGAAGTAAACTACCAATGTTGCGTGTTTCCACAATACTCGGAATGATATAGTTAAACATGTTTATTTCTTGCCTGATAATTCTGATTGTAAGATTCCTTTTTTACAAAAGTCCACTTCTCATGTCACAGTATTGTACTCTCTTGGAAATTGCAACGGGTGATATTACTCCCGATGGGTGGGCCCCAAAAGGAAGTAAAGGAAAACACCCATCTGCACCACTCCTGCCCCTCCCACTTGTCTAAGTCCCCTCCCCCGACGCCGCAACCCTTGTTCGAGCGCTGCCATTGCGACAGGTCATGGAGAGAGTCAGTCGGCTTGCGTGCTCCTCTAGAAATCGAGCGGACGAGCTCACAATGACCTGGAAACAGACACCAACCAGACGCGATCGATATTTTGAAGTGCGAACTGCAATGCTAAGGGTATGCACGGATGTGATGGATGACAGAGCATACTACACAAGTGTTTTTCCTACTGCAGTATCGTTCTAAACAATTTGCCGCGCGATGATTTTTTTAGTTCAAAACAAATAAAAGGATCCTTTAATATTAACATTTCTATTTTTGAAAACGCTTAAGTAACATTGATATTTGTAGTACAATAATACATAACTATTTACATATATCAACAGTTTCCATACATTGTCGTTTTTATACCTCAATATATATCATGTATGAAATTATGACAGATTTTTCGAGTTTAAAATTATAAGGGAAAGTAAACATATTCTTACAAACAGTTTTTTTTCCAATACCTGAAGTATTATTTTTATTTATTATTGTAGAACGTAAATAGTACAAATGTTGCTGATAATTATATTTCAATTAATTAAATCAGATAGCGTTGTGTTTAACTAAATTTATCATTAATCTTGCATCCATACATAGTAAAAATATTATTACAATTATATTATATTATTACAAACGACAAAAATATGTATTTATCGTTTAAAGCGTGAATTATATTTGAATATAGGGAGTATTTTAACGCAAACTTCGAAGTTTCCTGTGACAAATCACACTCATGATTTTAACCATTTGTAAACATAAAATTTAAAATATTATCATTAATAAACATATCATTCAAAATTGTGTTCATTTCAGATGTATAAGAGATTTTAAAAAAATGTTCACATCAAGTGTGTAGAAAAATGTGAAAAACGATTCCTAAGGCCGCATCCACTCCGTCAGGGAAATGTAATCTGCAATATCTCCGTCGAGTGCATTCACGCGCGCGTGGGCGGCGGCCGAGTCGTGTGACAGCGATGCTACTACTCGCGCAACTTTTCTTGAACGATGACCTTCCTCCCCCCCTCTCTGGCACAATGAACAGTTGAAGGCAAAAGCTCGCAGCGAGCACTGATGACAACGTTCCAAACACATCTTCACTGGCGCGAAATAAAAACTATTTTCCGTTGAAGAAAGAACTACTGTCCGTGATTTTCTAAAAAAAAATCTAAAAGAATGACCGAAGCAGTCGAAGATCCATCACAGGAGATACCTCAAATGCCTGAGAAAGTTATAACGCAAATTATTGAGAAAGTTGCGTATGCAGGACTGGTTCTCCAGACTGGCATTGCTTCACAAAACCTAGAGGCCGATTCTGTAACTAATACCCCCACTTTACCCACATGTCTTCAATGCATCGTTCAAGAAAAGTTGCGCGAATAATACCGGCGCGGTGGAGCGCCAACGGTAAAAACCCTCTATCTAAAATCCCCCATTTATTCCGAAAGTAAAGTTTCTCTGAACAATGTAATAGCTCATTACAAACATATTACCTGACCGATTATGCATTCTGCGTGCCCTATCTGGTTAAAAGCTATCTTAAACAAAATCCACACCATTCAAAATAAACACATCAGAACATTTACAAAAACACCGTGAATCGTTTCAAATTTACAATTGCACAAAGAAGGACATATTTCGTTCATAATTCCACTCATTTCCAAGACCTCAAGCACGTTTTTTTCATGCAGCATCCAAATCGAACACATATCACAATCTAACCTTGCTCAAATCACAGATTTGTGGACAATAATTAAAAACATGATCCCGATTCAATCTTTTTTTTTAAACATTCAGTCCGAGTTGGAGAATAAGGAGCTTCTCGAGCTTTCTTACCCTTAACTTAAGTAGTTAGCTTAACTTGGGTAGTTACATTTCGAATTAAGTTAGTTTATGAGGTAGATTTAAGTCGGCAAAAAATTACATATGTAAAATGCTTATAGTAGTGATCAATGTAACATGTAATTCCAATAAATAAAAAATGAAAATGAAAAACGTGGAGCGGCAGAAAACGGTATGAGGGGTGGCCGAAAAGGTGCCTAGGGTGAATCTACCTCCTGGCGGCTCAGGGGAGAGGAAATGCACGAGTAAAAACAGCGAGGAACACCAAGTGATGGGAAAGCCTTGAAGGATTAAGAAAATGGAGTTTAGAGCAAATTAAAACAATTATTTATTATGAATGGGCTTCATGGATACGTTTTTATAACTTATTGATTATATGTTTGCTATCGATTTTAAAAATCTAAGCTATTTCTTGTCGAGTCCTACTCCTTAAGGGCATGACTCGCAGTGTGCAACTGATAAAGAATTATTCACATTACAAAATTTGATTTCAAACGCACGTTTGTAAAACATATTTTTGATTCTGGTGAAGTTTCCCAGTGATTTACCTACATTATAGTGGGGTAGTCACGATATTGATGAAATGTTTTTACAGACATTGTGAGATAACTTGGTGATGGAGTAAAGAAAAGTTTTTTAATTATCTTTCTTCATAGGAGTTGTTTCTTTGGTGAACGACCAACAGGCATTCGTTATACTTCGTACGAATTTGTTCTGAATTTCCTGAATTTTATGTATATTAGGGTTAGCTGCATTGATCCAGTCTTGGTAGGCGGTTGAGGTGCAGGCGGAAGGGAGGCACCAGGTGGTTAGAGGCAGGCAGGGCCGCACCAACTCTGATGCCAGCGGTGCACCGCACAAGGGCGGCATTTGTAAATGGGCGGCCAAAATATAGGCATTTTCTGCATTATTTTTACATTTTTATACGAAAAACGATTACTCTATTATTCATAAATATAAAAAATCTCTTTTAGTTGTAAATTGTAGACCGAAAAAATAAATACACTAATAAAGTATTAGTAAGTAACACAATTTTCTGGAATTTCAATTTCGGATAATATAATATTTTTTTACTTATGCGGCATCTGTAAAGTCGCCGCTCGACTTCGCAGTCAAAAGTCTGTAAATGCTAAATAAAAAGTGAGTAAAAAAATCAAAACATCAGAACACGCGTTGGCAAACAAGCATGTGCACAAGGCCGCACATTAGCGCGGCTCTGGAGGCAGGTCAAGTGGGGCGAGCGCCCTCTCCCGGTCGAGGGGCCTTTAACCTCCTGCTCCGAGGCCGCGAGTGGGGTTCAATAGTTTCACCGCATTTCGCCGCAAGTGATAGAATACGGAAAACCGTCATAACGGTCCCCAGCGGAACCATAAATTTTATCTCTACATGTGGGGAAATCCCGTGGGGCCTGTACCGCGCTATGTCGTGACTGACAAACTGAGAGAACAACAAGCCCAGATAATTTCTCACGTAGCGTGACAGTGATTCTGAAGATCGTATGCCTTCGGGTTGAAGTCCCGTTGTCACCGACTCTAATAAATAGATGACTCAGCAAAGCCACGCTTCAATTGACGTAAAGGTTGAATTTGCACCATGTACCAATTTAATAAGGTAAACTTACATCTCTCGAACGTAACTGATATATCTATGTCTGCCCAGTTAAATTATTAAAGATATGTTCTCGTGCTTTCTCTCTCAATTATACGTAAAATATGAATCCAAAGGTGGATGGATTTTTTTTATATTTTTGGATAAAATATAATTGCAGAGTGTTTTATACTTTTGTTGTATAATTAATAACTAAATATGTATTGTCTTTGAATATGTTTTAGAACACCAGTACACCTATAAATTCATGAAATAACGACGTGAAGAAACATGCGAAGATTAATTATATATAAGAGATAATTGTGACTGCTCTTTTCAAAACAAAGTAGGACATTAATACCCATCTTCACATACCTACTAAATCATACACGTAGAGGAGTTTTTCCAACCGGTTCTGATTTGATAACCATCAACACTGTTAGGACGTTATGGAGTGAAAATCCTATTTCACTTTCTATCCGGAAATCTAGGTAACCTCATAGCTCTTTAGTACGATTTAGTCCGTATTTTCATGTATCCATCTTGAATCACATATGTGATTTCATGGATTTAGAACAACTGAGGTCTACTTCTTACATTGGTTTGGTGAATATTTGTATAAAATTGAAGGAAATTGAACTGTCTGGTTTTTCATACACAGTGAACTGTTGACTTGTTTTTGTTGATGTTGTTCAAGAATGTGTTCAACTCTTGACCAACTCTCGACCATCTGGTTCCACAAGTTGCAGAAATACCAAGCTTCCAATCCGGCACGAAACTTTTTACAGACCGTTTTCCAAAGAATTTCTTTATTACGTTGCAGGAAACACACAACATTTGCGCGATCCATTCGTTGGCACAAAAGCAACATTCGGAAACATAGCTACCGGCTTCTATACCGGACTATGGGCGTATGACGGTTGGAACAACCTCAACTACGTCACTGAAGAAATCAAGAATCCTTCCGTGTGAGTACTCTCATTTTCTTCCCATCTTGACCTCCCTTGACTATAAGCATGTATCTGCTCTCGTTTGCCGATTGATCTTGCTTTTTAGAAGGCCCACCCACAGGAGAATGATTTATTATGTTCACTTGCTTTGTTTATTCATAGTAAATGCTGCAGGCTATCCATGCATTGCTTCTATTGGGTTATTTTCTCTTTACGAACTATACTTTGCATACCTGTTGATGATGGACGTTGCTCCTAGTGTAAGATAGTTACAGTAGGTGGCTCGTAACTGCGTTAGAGCAGTTAGTAAATCAGCGAAGTTTTCTCTTAAACTACAATTTGCCAATTTTGACACGGATACCGCGTATTTTGACGCTGGAACTGAATTCCTGTTCCCAAAAGGAAATGTTTGATTTCGAACGCTGACACACCTTAAAACAATAATCAAGCAGTAGTTTACAGAGAAAATTCTGCTGATTAGCTGTCGTAGAATCCTATATGTATGGTAAAAAAAAGTTGAATATTGTTTTCAAAGTGAATTCATTTGAATTAAAATCCGATGTTCACAATCCGTCCACATATAGGTTAATTAGTCCAGCAGAGTGTGCCAGTTGGAGATGCAAATAGCAGGGTGGGCCTGTGATAGGAAGGCAGAGGCGGGACGTTGGACATTCAAAAAAGGTCGTCAGTGATTCACAGAACGTTGTGACTAATGTTTAATTCAAAAAGAAGTTTATTGCTCAATAGTTTCTAAATGATTTATTCTAGATGCTATATACTTTAAACGTACGAGTTATATTGTCGTAATATTATTTTTTTGTACTGAAATCATAATATAATTATCATATTAATATCCTGATAAAAATTGCAATTCGCTAATTATTCATTAAGCCAGTATCTCTTGCTTGATTGAACTATGCCTGTATTAACAGAAGAAAGGGATTGATATTTGCATATGAATACAAAATGTTCACCTATTACGAAAAATGTTCATCTTCAGGTCAGAATTTTGCATAATGTGAAAAAATATCGTAACAGCCTTTGGTAGTTTGTAAATTCTTATTACGTATTTCTATTTAAACTATTTTTCATCCGAAACCTACAATACCAAAGTTGTTGGTTTAAAGCTTATCCAATAATAATGCACATTTCTTTGAGTTAAGAGAGTGCATCATTTACTCAATGCGAAAGCCCAACAAAGAAATTTAGTATATACTTGTAACATTTCTTTACATACATTCAATACATACTATACAATGTCAACGGTGACTAAATTATGAAAATTATAATTTATTAGCTTATCCGGGATCAGGAATACTTATGTATTTATCACATAACGCTCAAGTACAATAAATCGTACAGTATCGCGTCTCTTTCACCAAACAACGGGATGTTTCCTGCATAACGCAGTGTCTCTTGGGCACACACGCCTCGCCGTCGATCCCTTTCTCATGTTAATACGCGCGAGTAAAACTGCTTCACGGGGCCGTGCGATCTCTTCTAGCGCGTGGGAAGCCATCTCGCCGCCAGAGCGCCCAGGCCCAAGCCCGCTGCCAAGAGCGCGTCCCGGCTCTGCCTCGGAGTGTGTGTGTGTGTTATCTCGTGTGGTGACACCGTTGTTTCTGTTGGGCGCCTCTCGCCCGCGAGATCTAGCGTTACCCTAGCAGGCAGGCAGGCGGTGCCCACACGGGCGCGCGCCAAGGGCGACAGGGCGGCATTGGAGCAGCGGGCGGATGTGGCCCCCGCTCTCCACGCGAAGCCCACTCCTCTGAAACCACCACCACCATCACCACCACACCCCCCACCCGCCCGAGGGGTTGCAGGTTTGTACTACGCATCGCCGCCGACCCGCAACACAGAGATTGCTTGACCCCCCGGCCGGAGCCCAAGGGAACGCACGAGGAGCAGGGCGCGAACGAACTCACTCGCGCGTCGCTCGTCCAAACGACCTGACTTACCGCTTGAATATGGTTCACAGCACACATGCGGAACACAAGAATTGGTAATTTGCGTTCGAGAATTTTTATTACTATTTTTTTTTCAGAATTATTCTTTCCTCAAATGTGTATTACATATTCTTCTGAGCAGTACTATTCGTGCCAACGTTCCATCTCAGAAATTTACAAAAGAGAGTCGTGGAAGGTTCTCAATCGATTTCCTTAGAACAAAGCTTTACACTAAATAGTCTAGTCTCCATCAGGACTAATAAATGATATTAAAACGTGTTACGTATTGTTAGCTATTGCTTTAAGTTACTTTCAGAATATGTCATAAGAAACGCAATCAGCTTTTTTACGTGAGCTAAACGAAGCCTACGGCTACTGTGTTATTTACAACATTTTACGAACCCTCTTTATGAAAACAGACTTAAAAACTTGAGTTGTTTATTGTTTACTTTGAATGTTCGGACTCCTCAAAATTTTGCATTCTTTTTCCAAGGAAATTTCATCATCTTTAATACTTAAATGTCGCACCTAGTCACTTTGTATACATCTCACTATTCTTCATTTAAATTTAGAAAACTAGACAAAAGTATATTATGATCAAAAGAAGAACTGCATAAAATTTTTAAAAATGGCCTTTAACTACTTAATACAAATTGAAATTCAGGAAATATGTCAATCAAAATTAAACAAAATTACAAACAGACTATACTTATACATACTATATGGTATTTCTCAATTCCGATTCAATTTTATTAGTTCAATAACATTCCACACCCAAATATTGAAACGTAAAACCGGTCTTTTTTCAAACTTCTCTCAGCGAAGATGCGCGCGTCTCTGGACCCACGTCGCTCTCGCCCGCTCGTTCGGGTCTATTTCGAGGTTCCCCGTTCGAAAATAGCCGCTCCCTGAAATACGGCGGGCTTTAATAAAACTCCGCATGTTGGTAGTAGCGAACCGCATAAACCTGTTCTCCCTGCTTCATTTCGCGTTCGTCATCGCCGTAGGCGTATTTCGTATACAAGCAAAATGACATTGTCGATGGGCTACCCTGACCGGGACAAACAATCTCTGTGTCGTCGATGCGGGCGTGTAGACGTAGAAGCTGCAACAACTCGATAAAAATGCTAATGCAGGTAGGGACAATGAGAATGATCACTTGCTTATTGCAGCATGCAAGGTGTTTTCAAGGAGAGAGCGCTTGACATCGCCTCTGACAGCTGAATAATCCATTCAAAGGAAGTCACTGCTGTAAGAAGAACTCAGTTATGCAGAGAATAAAAGTTCAGCTCCAAATATCTCTTACAAGTTCTTCAATCATTTTTTTTCTAATAACACTGTTGGTGTACGAGAAAAAGTCACAAGGGTCTTCCTCAAAGAAATAGGTTTGCTTGGAAAATGAGATATTCATAGTCATCTACAAGCCCTCTTTTATTTTTATTGCCTCTTTTATTTTCCATTGCTAAGCAACTAAATGAAGTTCGCAGAGAACCAAAGTTGATGAACAGAAAAATCTCACGTAAAGTTAATATTTCGTTTATTACAAATTTTATCCAATGATTCTGTTAACCTCTTTAAAAAATTTTGCATTAATGCAAACCACAGACGCTTTTCTCTAGAGGACTTCGCAAATAATAGCCTTGTAATGTTCCAAAGAGAAGCGAAGTGGGCCAGCATTTCAATTTCTCTTTATCATTTTGGCAATTTAAAAATATTATTAAACCTGTTTTAAAATTCAAACTGATTTTGTTACTAGGAATTGTAACTTGTGATTGAGAAGTAACCGTTCAAGTCGGATAGTGCTAAAAATGGTAAATATTTACTTTTTATTCACAACCCAAGGAAGTACAATTCTAAGTAGTTAACTTTATGCTCCAGTTAAGAAATATACTTCTCCATTGACTCTTTTACTAGACACATATTTTTACAAAGAACTGTAATTACTATAAATTGATTTTGTAAATAAATTCATCTATATTTCTCATTATAAAGTATCCACATTTTTACTTTCCCGTATGCATACGTATATACAGAGTAACACACGTAGTACAGGAAAATTATGTAATGCTACGCGAAAAAACGGAGAATTTTCGGCAGAAAAAAATCATTGCCGAGCCCTCATAAGCCAGTGGATAAATCCAGATGCTAATCTAAGGGGGGAAAGTCCTCGAACACATGGTGTAGCCAGAGTCTCTGTTTTGTGGGTTCTTGATTTCGAAAAACCAATTGACGGCAAAACATCCGTCCATGTCAGTGTGTGGACACCACTATCGCCTAAACCATACATACGATTTTTTTATCCAAAATGGATATTCCTCAGTTGATCTGGCTCCACTCAAACTTTCTTCAAAATTTGCGGGTACTTTACATGAAGCCTCACGGACATTTTCAACATTTTCTCAAAAACGGCGACAAATTTTGTCTTCACTCTTTTTATAGGGATAGTGCTAAATGTATGAGATGACATAAACGCCATCTTGCTCTATTCCTTTGATTTTTCAAATATTAGAAACATTTTTTTTACTTCTTTCACGTCGTTATAATTACTTTGGCGGCGATTTGTCCACATTAGTATGTTTATGAGTACATGTGCTTTAAATAATGTACAGTTTTTTGAAAACTCAACAGTTTTGTGCAAAAACTGACTCAAAATTCCGCATTTTCAGAAATGCTCAAGCGCCATTTTCTCATAAATGGCTCCAAATTTGTTCTTCAAACTTTTCGAACGGATTGTAATTATTGCACTCCTTAATATAACATAAATTCATTTTGGGATATTTTTTGTTGATATTACGAGTATATATTTATTTATATTTACATTAGCGTTTAAACGTCATATTCTTCAAAACAGCTCTAAATTTCAAAGAAAATTGCCATTTAGAGCGAGGTTTTACTGTTCTTTAGTATTCTTAGAATAATATTTCCGTTCTACTATTAGGAAAACGAAAAATTAAGAAAATGTCAAAAAAATGCACTTTGGGCGGCGATAGATGGCAGCTGGCAACAGAATGTGGATATTCCGAATAGCTATACGAGACGAAAGGAAATAGAAAACTAATACGGGATAGTCTGTGCCATTCTGTAGCACCACTAGTTATTACATAACATTACATTCATTTTTAGTTGATTCAATTTATTGCGATAATTTTTCTAAATTTACAGACCTGGGCAACAGACATTAGTTAAGATGGCTGTGAATGTAGCCTCTGAAGCAGGATTGAAATTTGGCGGCAAAAATTGTATATAATTGATTGAAATTTACCTTTCCCTTGGCTAATTCTCGTACACCCAGTAGCCTTGTTGAAATTAAAACTACCTGAAACCGCCGGCGGTCGCTGACATTCAAAACGCCTCTTCCCGAAATGTGATGCACATGCTCGCCATTTCAATGCCAGAAAAGCGGCTCTATTTATTGTTAATTATTGAAAAACCAATTACTGATTACGACTTTCCCAGAAATTGTCACTGGAAACCACATATTTCTATTACGTGACTACAAACACAATGTCTCCAGAAAAATGTGTTAAAGTATGAATGGATGAATGAATTAAAATCGCAAAAACCAATCAACCTTTAAAGTCTGAACCATCAGTCAAGTGGACAGTTCGTCCTTCAAATGTCAGGTGAATACTAAAATCACACAGTACTTCCGACGTCCTGAGATTAACTCAAAAGCCAATACTACCCTATCAAATGCTTTATATTTGGTTTTGTAATCGAATTATGCATCTTAGAATAAATGATCAGATAACATAATTAATCAAATCAGATAATATATTGTGTATAACATCAATAATATATTCAATAATTACCACCAAAATACTTAAAAATGAGAAAAACATGTCTCACGAAACCTAAATGGAATTGAATAAACCTTCAAAAAGTATTTTGTATTAATGAATAATTTCCTCTGGACATGTTCTTTTATAAAGGGCTAACGCCCACTCCCAAAAGCATTTCTGTGCTCTCTCTGAATGTGGTGCCCTCGTCATTGTAATGGCGCGCAGGTGGCTTGAGTGGGGGGGGCAGAGGGGGGCAGCAGCCGCCGCGCGGGGTCCGCGGCAGCCCCCCCTGACCGCCGCCGCCGCGTGTGCCCGCAGGAACCTCCCCCGCTCTATTGGCATCGGGATCCCGCTCGTCACATTCTGCTACTTGCTCATCAACATCTCCTACCTGGCAGTCATGTCGGCCGCTGAGATGGTGGAGTCGGAAGCCGTCGCCGTGGTGAGTAAACCTTTTCATTGCGGAGTCAAGCTTTCAATTTTCAAAAATTCAAAAAATGTAATATTTGTTTAATCTCTCTAATCTTTAATTTAATTAGTTTGGCCTCAATGACGTTTTCAAAAGTTTCTTAAAAACGGCTCTACATTTGTCTTTGCTTCCTCGTAACAACTGAGAAATTAGAATAAAGCTGCAAAAAATCGTTGAGAAAAATCGATGTCCAGATTTGGGCAGAAATACTCGTTTTGATGCAGTTTTTTGTTGTTGTTGTTTGTTTTTTACGTCTCTTCCCATCTGTGCTGTTTGCCCGTGTCCGCCTGTGAACTACACTAGCGCCTAAAACGTACTCAGAATTTTCTCCTAAATGATTATTCCACTTCGATATGGTCCTTCTCAAACTCCTGAGAATTTAAAACGAGTCTTTCTCTTTTGCGGGGTATATCGTAAAGAGCACGCATATAAAATTGTATAAAGTTATGGACATCTCCACACTATTGTACGATTCGAAAACATTCGACCCACAAAGTAAAAGATTGCATCCAGATAGAAAGGTCAGAAATGAAATTTCTTCGATCTGTCAACGGTTGTACAGGACCGAGGTGGTCCAAAGGGATACCTCGGCGTGATGTTCGGGAGCCGACCTAACTGCGAGGGAGCGCTTCACCGAGTATTGTCCCCGAGAGGATCGATAGTTTCCTCGGGAATCTCTGATAGGCGCTGATAGATGGCAGTCGGAAAGGGGTTGGGACAAAACCGAAAAGGAAGGCCCGATTCAAAAGAAAGGGAAACAAACTAGTACTAGAAAGTGTGTGCCATTTTGTGACACTTCTAGTTTAAATGTTTGTTTCAATAAAGCAAAATATATGCATACAAACACATATATACGCATCGATCCAATTTTCATTAAAACCTCCGAAATTTTGAAAATTGATAAGTTCAACCTTTTTTAACTTGTCCTACATCTGAGGCAAGATATTTCTTTTTTCATGTAATCCATTCCTCTCTAATTTCATGAAATCATTTCATATACACTTATTAAAATATTTTTTAAATGTTTTATGTAATGTTTATTGAAATCGTGACAACTTAGCAACTTAAGACCCACAACTTAATTTTGCAACTTAAGCGAAAGTAAGAATTAATTTTAGCGACTTCTTGTAGTATGCTGGTTAGTGGGCTGGAACCGCAACGTGATCAAACTCCAGGCAGGGCAATTTATTCCCTTCAGCGTTTTGCTAGGATAGAACACAATGCGCTGAATTCAGTGGCGTGTACACAGGGGAAGGGGGCGGGAGGTCCATGATCTCCATGAAATTTTGAAAGGACCCCCGGAGCCTTGCATCATAAATATTTTTTCTTCTTTCTTTCTTATTATGTTATGATTTTCCTCCTTTTCAAGCTGGCATTTTGAAAAAAAAATTACATATCGAGAAGAGGCTCTCCATGCCCTTTAGAATGGTGTAAATGGTTTATCACAAAATATCGTTCACTTTCTAATGTTTTTTTTTATTTCTACTAAAAATGTCATACGTAAATTTCGAAAAAACCAATAGTCTACAAATGTATTTGGAGCTCACCTATGACTGAATCCAACGGCAGACGGGCCATTTTCATTAAAACTTTTGAAATTTCAAAAATTGGAAATGCGTTTTTGCTCGAATTTTCTGCGCTTCATTTGGTGAAGAGATTTTCAAGAGATGGCTGATTCATAGGATACAGGTTGCAATATCACGAGCATAAGGAACTCATACAATGCTGTGCTAATTGAACACAAATCTGTAACGAGCGAAAAACAATTTTCGTCTCAAGTAAAGAAAAAGTGTAGTTGCAATTCTGCTACTACTTGAATTGCCAACAGACAGACAGAGACAGACAGACAGACAGTCAGACAGAGAGAGAGAGAGAGAGAGAGAGAGAGAGAGAGAGAGAGAGGAAGTGATATCTTAAATATTTTAAGAAGCTCAATTTCTATGTATTAAGAAATAATGTTCTTTACGTTCAAAATAGTTTAATGTAAACAAACATAAATACGCATAAGGTCTTTATTGTTCTGAAATAATATCTGATACGTAATAAATGATTACATTTTACGATTAATTTGCTTTGCTAATACGTCCTTTGCATCCAACGCATTGAAAATAATTCAATTGGGCTACATTCTAGCTTTTTTTTAACAAGAATTTTACACTTTTACACAGATATACTGTGTAATGTTTATTAACATCTCCCCTACTGAAACGGTTCAGTCTCTCTCGGCCTTCCCAACTCTCAAGGTTAATCTTGCAGTTCCATCAGATATTCCCTCAAGCAGGAAAATGTCATCACAGGAGCAAGAAACACAAGAGACGAGAATTCAACTCATTTAGCAAAAGGGAATCTTACCCGAGAGCGAGAGAGGTGTATTAATTAAATGAGAAATTAAAAAATGATATGAATGAAAAAGAGGTCCCGATGGGAAAATAACGTAATTATAATATAAATAGAATCAAGAATTATGAATCGGTTTCATTAATGCCCTGATTCTATTCGTTGTTTTTGTTTGTTTTCTAATTTCCACTATGTATTATTCGTCTTTAGCGCGGTCATCTAATCTATTTTTTATAAAACGCTTACTATTAACTATTTACGGTAGCTGTTTATTTTGCTTCAATGAATAGTTGACTACAACTTTGCAAAAGTTATTTAATTATCAATTTAATTATATTTGATATCTACTAAGCAATAGCATTTAGTCAGAAGTCAGCTTATTTAAATGAATGAAACCCATATTTTCTCTCTTTGTTTAAAATACGATTGTCTTAATTCCATAACAGTAATGGTAGTCGCTTTCGAATTATCAAAATCACATACGAGTAAAAATAATTTTCAGGTAGCGAGCAAAATAATGAAAGCGTGTTGCAGTTTACTCATCAAAGCAGGATTGTATACTGAACAGTTTAAGAGACGGGTTGGGAAAGACGGGACGGAGGCAAACAGACGGACAGACGGAGAGAGGGAGGGAGAGGGGGAGAGGGGGACAGGAAGAGAGAGAGGGTAGGGAGAGAGGGAGAGAGAATATGCAGCATTTGCAACTTTACATGTAAAGCACTCACACAATTTTAGAATGCACTAAATGAGAAATTTAAGATGTAACTACGTTATCTGATAACTCTAAATAAACATAGCATTTTTATATATTTAAACAAATAAATAACTGTATTCCCTTTTAATAAAGTTGTTTTCTTCATTTGAGATGGCTTGTGTTCATGTACGTATTAAAAAGAGAAAGAAAAAAAATTGGTAAAATATGCCAAGAGCCCTTTATTCCCCACCATGGTATGGCACAGGACACACAAAGCTTTCTAGTTCTTTTTATATCGAGAAGTTAATTCAAAAGCCATCTAAAATGAATGGTAGGTTTCGGTAGTTTTTAGAAGCGAAAATACCTTATACGTTAGTGACGACGCAATGGCGCTGTGAAGTCGCATAACAAAGTTGTTTAATTAGCAGTTTGATAGCGTAAGCTCAATTGATAATGATGATAGATATCGGTGTATTTTGAATACTTCTTTACTTTACTGTGCACTTCGCATGTACTGTGCGCAGACCTTTGGCAACCGTATCCTGGGTGTGATGGCCTGGCTGATGCCATTGTCTGTCACCGTATCAACCTTTGGATCTGCCAATGGGACTCTCTTTGCGGCTGGCAGGTGAGCACGTCGGCACGGTCTGCGTAATTTGTTTCTTATAAGTAGAAATTATTTCTAACTTTGAAATTTTCATCGCGGGAAGAAAAATAAACTTACGTGTTTAATCTCTTTTAAAACGGTTAATTTTTTTTTCTTCTCGAATAAAAAATATTGCAACGTTGTCATCGTCCCATTTTAGTTAGTGAATGTAACTCATATTTGTATCACGGGTTGAACAAAGGCGGATCTACAGGGAGAGAACATTTGAGAAATCATCTGTACTGACCCAACGTTTCTGTATTTTTCTCAGTTTATTTAAGATAAATACCACTAATGGATCGCTTGACATTCCAAAGAAGAACTTGATTTATGACTGCCTTTCTTCAAGCTAACATATTTACAAATTATTTCTAATAAATTTCGGATGTTATTATCAATGAAACTTCCCCTCAAGAAATTCTTCCTCGATCCGTCTCTGGTAGTTAATGCCACTTCCATGATGCCATACAGGCCTTTCATGAATGTACAGTGTCAACAGAATTAAAAAGTCGTTACGTATGAGCAGGTGAATTCAGGTCAATAACAAGAGAACTGAGAAAATTCACTCATTATAAACATCTTAGAGAATTTTTTTGTCTTGCCCAAATAATCCTTTGTAAAATAGAATTCAATGCGACGAGAAGTGAAAACTGAACCAAACAACTTTCATTTCGCAGGTTGTGTTTCGCAGCGAGTCGCGAGGGCCATCTGCTGGATATTCTTAGCTATGTGCACGTGAGGCGATACACTCCAGCCCCAGGGCTCATCTTTCACGTAAGTTGTTTTTAGTGTTTACTTACACGGATTATATCATTTGTAGATAAGAAATGAATACCTTTCTGTGAGACAAAAACATCTACGACGAAGGATGCTAGGACATACCTTTCAAACGAAACTTCCTCAGATAGTTGCAAAGCTCCCTTGTACACTTCCAATAACATCTTTATAAAGAGTATACCTCATGTAATTTCATAAAACACAAAATAATTTATTTATATTATTTTAATGCAAAAGTGAACGTGCCAAAAACGGCATGAAATGAAATAAATATTGACTATCAAAATAAAATTGTTCCAAAAGCCATGTGGATGTATGCTCTAGTTTGAGATATGACTACTAGTTTTTGTTTTATTTCAAATAAAATATATATTATTTTCCGCCATGATAGTGCTAATAAGAACCCGCATCCAGCAAATCTACACCGGTAGTGACGACATCGATTGCCGCTTCATTCCACTAAGCAACATATCTATATGTAGTAATACTTTTTTTGGTTCCTCAATATTAGCAATTACAAAAATATCTCCGCTTAGTCCACTAATTGGACTTCAAATCCGCGTATGTAATCTCCTCTAGGCTTACCAGGTGACACTAATACCAAGAGTTATAGCTTATTTATATTACTACACTGTTGAAAATCCTGAACAAAATGAATGAAATGATCCAGTATTTCAAAATAAGTAAAATGCACCAAATTACGAAATTGACATTTAACGTTCTATCATAATTCAAACAAGGTAAACAATGATTTTCATTTAAAAAATTGAATTGATCCAACATTACTAAAAATATTCTTTAACATCCATTACACTTGTTTGTACTGTTTCGGACCGTTCCCGAAAAATCAATTTGCTTCTGTTAAGACCCATAAGCATTGTGCAATCATCGAAAATCTACAAATATCATAATGTCCGTACATCACATATTAAGCACAGTGTATCAAACAGGTATTTTTTTCTTCAAGTTCAGCTGATGGAACGAGGACGAACATTTCTAGAGAGAATCCTGAAGGTTATGCAACCCACCGCACACATCAGAATGGTTCTGAAGTCATTTTCTTGACAAATATTATGTTTACAATTTACCCCACCCGAATTGATATTTTATAATGTGAGTGTGTCGCCAAAGGAGCAGAAACTATTACATGTGCACACGTCGAAGAGAACACGGACGTACCTTCCAGGGAGAGAAGACCCGGAGAAAGCACCACTTCGCGTTTTTCTCACTCCTTTCGTTTTCTCTCGCCTGAAAATCACCAGTGGCCTACTCTGCCTTTCCGACTGTGCTTTAGAAGTTTATTTCCCTTCAGGCCTATTAATCATTATTATAGTGTTACTGTTATTGTTGCTATTACTCAGCACTTCTCACGAGATTGTCTAGGCTCAGATCGCAAAAAGACGTGCTGCAAATGCGGCGAGAAAGGGTACAAAAATCTCACATGTTCTGCGGAGAAGTCTAATGAATTTCTAATGTAATGTAAATAGCACATTCCAAGTTTCAGAATATACCTAATCTATAGACGGGCTTTAAAAACAACAATCAAATGACGATAAGCATCCCGCAGGCAAATAAAACCATGAGCAGACCAGCTGCCTACCCTCCCGACTAGCTGAAAATTGAGCAAGAGATCGCAGCAATGGACAACAGCGAACTACAAAGAAATCGGGGCAGCACAGAATGAAACTTCCACACACTAGGCACTACATTGAAATGGACTTCTAAGATCCCGACAGAAAGCACGGAACCTCTGGTCAGCAATGAATACATTCATAATTCCTGCAGGAAAATTGACGATCTCGAAGATATGGTACGAGAGATGGGACCACCATGGAAGCCAGCTACTTCAACGCCAGAGCACACAATTCCAACATGCCCCCCTGCATGCCGTCGTCGAACGCGAGGGGTATGTATTTGTTGGAGTTAGCGGCCAGACAAATCCTGATAGTTCTGAAAGAACGGACCAACGTCCACATTCAAACAGCCCAGTTACTCGGAAACAATTCCGGATATCACGCTGGCATCTGAAGAGCTTTCAGCTAAAGAGAGACGCTGGAGGGTGATCGAGGACTACACAGGCGATCACCAATACCTCACATTCTGCCTGCGGACGAGGGAACGCCTCAGACAGCAGCAAACCGCAAGTAAGGAAATGGGGTTTGAACGTCAACAAGCTAGACCAACCCAAAACTGTAGAAAACTGCAGCACTGAGCAATACGAATAACCCAACGCCTCCCGAGTATCGGCATTGAGGAGTTCCTGCGTGAAACCATGCCTCTTCTTCAGGCTTGTGACTCATCAATGCCCAATGAGATACAATCTCGGAACGGCAGGGGAGCGCCATTGTTGGACTGGCGATTGCGGAACTAAGGACAAACGAAGAGCCCCGAGTGCGACGCTGAGAAGAAAGGTCCACTGAGAGTTGCTTGCTCCTACAGAACCGCTCCTGAACTGACAGTGCTGATGGTGGCTGGAACATATTACTCGCGCAACTTTCCTTGAACGATGGAATGAAGAAATGCGGGTAGAGTGGGGGATATTAGTTACGAAATCGGCCACTAGATTTTACAAAGCAATCTCTTAAGAGCCTCAGTCATGCCCTTCTCAATAATTTGCCATCTAACTTTTTCAAGAGTCTCTCGAGGTGTCTTCTGTGATGGATCTTCAACTGCTTTGGTGATTTCTTTCGATATTTTGAAAAAATGACAGACAGAAGTTCTCGTCAACAGAAAGTAGTTTCAATTTCGCTCCAGTGAAGATGTGTTTGGAATCTTGTCATCAGTACTCGCTGCCAGCTTTTGCCCTCAACTGTTTATTGTGCCAGAGAGGGGGAAGCAAGGTCATCGTTCAAGAAAAGTTGAAAACGATTTATACCCATCCGCCTTCTTGCACAGGAATGGAAATTCATCAATCTGTCGAAGTCAGCTGGGAGGCCGACGAGCTCGTGGAGAAGCTAGAACCTTCACAACAATGGAACGAAAGTCCAGAAGTTGCACACCAACGCTCATCCCGCATATAGCAACCTTTTTTAAATTATATTTTAATTTGCTGCGTCTGGATTGACGCGACGCGTCTCCGAGCCCCTTCGGGGGCGTTGAGCGCTTTGCGCTTGGGCGTAATCCTCCGTTATTAATTAGTGCGCTTAGGAGTAATCCTCCATTAACTATATCTGTCATTATATGTCACGTCTCGTAGCAGTCAGTTGTCAAGAGGATAGCCAGGTAGCATCTCCGCGTACGCCCCTCCTACTACGTGCTCCTGCGTCAGTACCCAGCGGCCAGAATTGGGAAGGAATTAGGATAGGGGTAGGGTTTAGGACACTTCACATGGGGTTGGTCTAGCCCTTCTGAAACATTCAAACTCGTATGGTTGGATTGTCCGGGAATCGACGAGAATCAAACCCGGACCTCTGGAAGGCGAGCGACTTCGCTCTGAGCCACCGAACCTGCTTGAGCCAGTTTGAGCTAGGCGCAAACGCGGCAGTCTCCTACGACGTGATATAGTTCCTTATTGAGCATTGAATTAATATTTTCACCGTATGACAGAAGTAAAATAGTGAGGAATGATTATAGCACGCACAAGTAAACCGATGCTGAACATACTTTCTTCATCTGCGAGAGGTGGTCCAGCAATTGTAAGAGAAAGTGTTTGCCATTCATTTACTGGGGGGGGGGGGATGTGACAATACTTAAACATGATTTTCGTACTTCACAAACTTCACATTCAGTTGGTACAGAGTTATAAACATTACTAAACCCATGTAATTCTATGAAATATATCTTCTTGTTACATGATAATTTCCAGCGCAGCTCTTCTCAAAAACAGCCATTTCAATCATTTTAGCACAAACAGCATGTAAAGAATAGCATTGACAAGAAGCATCACTTAATGTTGAAATACAGAAACAATTTCAATGAGGCATCTAAGTAATTAATTTCATAGACATCAAAGTATTTTGTCTATCATTTATTTTCTGAGAACACTATGTATTAGCACCTTTCACAGGACTTTTTCAATCACTCTTCACTCTGTTAATATCATTATAAAAAAATGTGTGTTACTAAACATTCTATTTCATTGAATATATCAAATCATAGATTTCTGAAAGGGATGTTACTGTATGTTACAGTCACTGATTGCTGTAGCAATGGTGATGTCAGGAACCATAGACTCCCTGATTGACTTCTTCAGCTTTACTGCCTGGATCTTCTATGGAGGTTCCATGTTGGCTCTATTGGTCATGCGCAAGACAAAACCACATACACCTAGACCATACAAGGTAAAAAAAAAGTACCTATAAATGCATCCTTCTTTTATTTAGGAAAGATAATGCATTTTAAACCATTAACACAAAGCACTCGCATCAGAGGAAATTTACATATTTCTGGTCAACTTAAATTTTCTAATGCTTTATTTTATTAAATATTAATTTTCTCCTCTTCATTACTTTTTTACTTCATCTTGTAAGGAGGGTCAAGTTTGCCCTTTCTGTCAGACACAAATGACTGCTGTTATCAATTCTTCCCATAAACCTTCTTTTTGGTCAATATTGAGAGTATATGTCTGCTTCTGTATCATCTTTTTTTGTATTTATCATTAACATCCATTCACAAATTTGTGCCATAAGCCTTTTATTTTCATATTTTTGAAACCTTCAAATCTTTATGATAATTGCAGAGAATGGCATTCATTTGCAGAACAATTGAAATGTTTCCCATATGAATTACCTAATTTATCAATTTCTATATTCTAAGAAAATTATTTTCTCATTAGCTCTATTATTCTTAAAGAATTTTGATATTTATTGTGTGAAACTAACAACCTAGAAAAGTTATCAAATTAGCACCAAATTTTACTTGCCATAAAATATTTGTGTAATGTGCATTTTTTGTGTAATGGGGTCAAACTGCCTCAGGGTCGTGGAGGTGGGAAAAATCCTCTCTCTTACTCACCCCTACCAACTAATATTTTCTATTATATCCAGACATTTAATTTCAATTTCATTTTTTTACGTATTACAGCTCCAGTAAAATACATTATAACAATGACAATTATTCATCTTTAAGTATTTGCAACAATAACATAGGGTAAACAAAAATCTTTTGCCTTCCTTAATTAGCCCCAAAAAAAAAAAAAAACAACAAAAATGTTTGGGAAAAAATATAATGATGCTTCTGAACTGGGTAAAAGTAGGAATTTCCCATGAGTTTGCATTTCATTTTGAACAAAGAGGGCCAATAAGCCCAATGCTACTTACTAAGAGGACTATAATTATACCACTCTAACAAGCACCATAACCATCTGCAGCAGCTCCATGACTTTCATGTTTTCTAAGTTTGTTATCAGAGAATATTATTGAAGTCATGAAGAGCTGTGACAAAACGACTTTTTTTATAATGTGTGCACCACGTTAAATTCAATAAATCAATCAGAATATTGTTCTGGCTTTACCTAATAATTACAGGGTGGTTGACATCTTTTTGATGTCTTGCCAACTTTTACGTGCCAGAAACCAGTGCTGTCATATTACTGCTGAAATGTGTGTGATCAGAAAAGTATAAATGAAGTAAAGTGACTTACATGCATTGTTCAATGAGTCCAAATCCTCCTTTAACTGAAGCACTACCTTAGAGCATAGGACCAGTGAATCTAGAAACAAAATTTCTTAACCAAATGTCGCTTCTAATTGGCAAGGTATGGGGTAATGAGAAAGTCTGAAAATACATCAGAGAATTTTATAGAATAAATGCAAGGAAAATAATAGATAAATAAATGAATTTGTCTTGTTGGATATGTCATAATGGGGCATAAACAATAAATATATTTGTAATTCCACTGAAATGTTTCTAATTTTCATGTCATGCTATTTTAGCCCTTCTCATTACTGATTTACACTAATTACATCTGCTTTGAAAAGTTTACCAGCATTGTAAATTTCACAAATTTTTTTTGATTACCAAATCCTAATTTTACACCATTGCGCAAACTTTAAAAGTCAGGGCCATGAAGTACGGAAATTTGACATTACTGACAACTACTTATTCATTGCATATATAGATATATGACAATTAATTCAAATATTCCTATTATTTTCCTTTTTTTTCTATTGAAAAATTGCTGAGAGCTTACTGGTACTCTCTGTTTTAAGAGTGATGTAATATTGTTTACCCAAAAAACTGATATTAAACTTCCATCTAATTTTTTTTATGGTGCAGGTCCCAATTATCATCCCATTGATTGTGCTGGTGATATGCGATCTACCTCATTGTGGCACCTATTATTAATGAACAAAAATAGAAATATCTGTATGCAGCAACATTTATTCGTAGCTGGCTTACTGTTCTATGTGCCATTTTGTACACTATGGTTATGTACCTGCTGTAATGGGTAAGTTATTGAAAATATACTATGCCATTGCCATTGGTGGTAAATTAACTACTCATGAGCATTTCTAACTTCATGTTAAATGATCATTTCGTTTTTTAATCTTTTTTCAGATACAATTACTGTTTTTCTGCAACTCCTGCTTGAGGTGGCACCCTCCCAATCAATGTTTGATTAGCAACAATTGCAGACAAGAAAGAAAGCGAGCAGCATTCTATGTGTAGTGTGTATTCCATTGCAGAGCACTCCCAAGTAGTGCAGATGTCAACTTAGGACTAGAAAAGTCCCCACAATAAATGTTAGATCAATGTTGTTGTCATATGTAAATACTCGACCATGTTCCTAAGCTTTATTACAATTGCTTAGGAGAAGATGTAATAACAAATAACTGTTGGTGGCATTCAATGTTTTCTCTGCTAAATTTCACCAGCTTTAAAATCTCAAAGAGTAATTATTTATTGCTCAGATACTTGAGTGAATGATAACTATTCACAAGAAATTCCAATGAACACTTGTGATAGTTAAAGAGGACAAGAAAAATACATAAAATCTTCCTTATAGTTGTTTGTTAATTTTTATTAACTGCAATTTTATTTCTATTTCTTTCATATGCAAGGCTGTGTGGATGCACACTAAATTTACATAAAATGGTCAGATTCCACGTCTGAATGTTGTCAAAGTTTTGAGAATATTCAATGATAAAAGTGCCAAAACAAATATTGAGTGTTTGTGCAACTCTACATTTTTGATGTTTCAGAAAAAACTATTTGAAGAAATATAATTTTGTTTTTGACTAAAAAGAACGTATATTGACAATTACACAGACGCCAGGCAATGATATTTTTCTTGTTAATTTTTGGAACATGTGTTCTGACCATTTATTCTTAAATATTTTATCAGTATTTCATAATGAAGATAAATCAGAAAAGTTTCTTATTTCTTCAATGCATTTTTAATAATTACCAAGACTTTATTTGAGACACATTAACTATCTTTTGATATTTTGGAAGTGATACTTCATCAAAGCATTGTGACATGATGGTAGAATGTGTAAATATAAATGTGTATGTATATGTAGGTCTATTTTTACATGGTCTCGGAAGGGTGAAAAAGTACCTGAAACAATATAAACACCACAAAATAAAAACAATTTTTGTTTTGTACACTGACCTCTTTCTGTAGTTTAGATGTTATTAGATATGCAAACTTTGTTGCTATTTTAGATTGTTGATGCCTACCAGTGAAAATAATGCTTTGAAAGAAAGTTCCTGCACAATTAAGGAAATGCTGTGGACATACTCTTCCTAAACGGAGTGCTGAAAGGCTGTGATGGTTATTGATGAAATGTGCTGTGAATGAAGTATCATTTTGAATAATTTGTTCATTCCATTGAATCCATGTTTAACTATGTATTGTATTGTAATCTATTGGTAGTTTTATATTGGACAGGGCATATCAACAGTCTTGCATAATTAATATGACTGTATACTTCCTATCATTCCAGATCAAGTTGAGGTAGGAAAACTTATGTGGTACTGATTTGTGTCAAAACAGTCTTGCAAGGAAATATGAGAAATCAGTGGGAACAAATTGTTTCTATCATTCTTTTATACTGTTTTCAAATCAATTAGATTTTGCTATACCAATACCATTTATATTTAGATAATTTTCACACAAGTAACTGTACTTATTTCTGCAGTCAATGATTAGTATTGTTCAAAATTTAATGAACACAAAATTGAGCTAGATGCAGAAATTTTCAAATTTCTCAAATTATTTTTATTCCAGGGTACATAAATGAAACAATAGAAGAATATGCAGCTAGCAACATTAAATAATGGTTAATGTTCATGTACACAGATCTATTTTTAAACATTTCGAATTCTATAAATTGTTGGAATGCATATTTTACTCAAGTTATGATTTAATATATGTGTATAAAACTTTTTGATTCAAAGATAGAGAAATCTGAAGAAATAAGTTTTAAATGAAATGTTGTATCAAAACCAGTTTATTTTATTAATAATTGTAATATTTTTTGTAACATTCTCAATAGTATTTGTGTAAATGTTTAATTAAAGATAAATTTTTTATATTTACTTGCTGTACGAGACCAAATATCAAAATATAGAAGTTTGTGTTGATTTTCTTTTACCATGATAAAGGCCCTTTTGTTTATTCCTGCAAGTGAAATTTAATGAATTGATTCATTACCAAAATCCTTGTGAGATTACTTTAATTGTGAATTGACTCATGGTTGAATGAATGTTATAGAAATGGTTAATCATATTAGTTGAAACAAAATAAAAATTTACTTATTTTTCTTATTCTTTGCTCAAATATTATGTTTTTCTTTAATGCAGCAGTAAATTGATTACATGCATTGCATTTCTAATTTTTTTTAAATATTATTTAACTATTTGAATTCCTGATAGTTCAACATGTTAGTATACTACATTCAACAGCTTCAAATTTACCTTAGTAAATAAATATTATAAAGTAATATATTTATATTCTTTCAGCTTGAGAAAACAGTATTTCTTAATTGTTAATGGGATGCTATATGAAATTATATCATAGACCTAAATTCCGCAAAGAAAAAAGAAGTGAATAGTCGGCAGAATTTTTATCACAGCTAACGAAAATATTTAGGTTTTTATGACTTACGTTTCTCTTCAAATAATTGTGATTTGAAGAATGAGAAATATAAATACTTAGTGTGAATTAGATTGCTATTTATTTCTCTCTATTTTTGAAACTAAAGAGAATATAATTTGCAATAATGAGCTGCAAATCAACCAATGTTTTACAACAAAATTCTTATAGATATTTATTTCCAACCCCGTCACAGAGTTAAGTTCAGCAAAACATTCAGGAAAGCATTGTAAGTAATGGCAGTCAACACCATAAAAGTTTAATTTCTTTCTTTTGTATTAGAAAATTCAAAAACAAAAGGTTTAAATTACATTATCATTTGATCTGAACATTACCCTAAATGTTAATTAATGTAATAATACCCATTCAATTCCTAAAAACAAATGATAAATGTACTATAGAAAACAACCAAATAATCTGGGGAAAAGTATAAAATATTACAGAGTGGAAAAAAAGAAGCACCTTTTAATGGCTGGGAAATTTCACTGTTTTCTTAAGCTGACCTATGAAACATTATGTTGCAATTTATGATAAAACACAATGTATTATTAAAGAAAAAGTAACCAAATAAATTCTTAGCTTATTCAAAAATGTTGTAACACCCTTCCAGACAAGTGTTTTTATGTACCTTCATTAATTTTTTTCCCTATGTGAACAGTTATGTTTATTTTACTTATGAAGGAAAGGATCTGAACCATAATAAATTGTAAATTGTGATGTAAATGAATTAATATAGATGATAATGTTAGATTCATTGTATTAAGAGAAAATAAAGTTATAAACCTTAAAACTTTTGTATTTTAATATTTCTCATCAGTCAACTTATGTCACTTTGAATAATTCAAGGATTAATCGCATTGGAAAGAGGTGGATGTGCTTTTCTACCAGTAATTTGTACATCAGACAATGAATTATTCGTTCAGGCACTTTGCAATACAAACCCATATGAATTTCGAAATAATGCTGGAAGTACCCTTATTATAGTTCACTGGAACAGTTTTAATAATTTTATTTGGTACCCTTTTACTTACGACACAATAGCTTCACTAAAATACCATTAGCGTGGATAGTTAATATACTATCAATATAATGACAAAATGTGGTTCCATAAAATACTAAATAATTTCTAACTCCAGACTGAAAGAGCAACTTACTTTATATTGAATTAAGTGGGAGACACTACAAAACTCTAGGAATTCACTGACAGAGAGCACTGGAATGAGAGAAAGTAAACCGACAGAAAAATGGAGAGATACCTACACAGGTGCCTTTACTAGTGTAATTGAAAAGCCTCCATATTATGAGGAAAAGGATAACCCAAAATTAAATATGATCTTCCAGTTTAAATTGGTACTTTCTCTGTTAAAAATAAACCTAGTAAAGATATGCAAAGAAAGACTTGGATGAATCAGAACTGGACATGAACAGGGAGTGGAAGACAAATCCAAGAGATAGTTCCCTGGCACATTTTAAAATGGTTTCAGCAATTACACAAACCTGAGATGTGTCACCAAAATTTCTTATTTCAGAAAATGAGAAATCAAATTATTATCACTCAGCTAACTTGGAATTTGTCAGTTATAAAGCTGATTATTAGTTGGAGTAAAGAATAATAGGGAAATCACAAGGCACTCCTGCAAGTTTTGTTTCTTTGTAAGATTAAAGTCATCATTTGTACAATATTCGTAATGTTCCTGTAATCCTGCACATCTCAACTGTAAATTATCAGAAAACTATTAAAACGATACTTAGAAAAATGTGTGCATGACATAATTTGAAAATCTTATATTGAGGACTTTGCATTAACAACAAAATCTTTAGCGTTAATATTAAAGGTGAAAGAAATTGAACTTTGCAATTTTCAAAACTCCAGAGAGAGATTTTAATGAAAACCGCTGTGCTATATTATTAAACCAAACTTAATATTTTTGAGCAGAAAATTAAAAGAAAAAAATTGGAGTCATTTTTGAGGAAATCTTGTATACATTTTTTTCCCCTCTATTTTCAATAATGTTAGTTTATGGAGGATATTGAACATCTTTTTAATTTTTGGGATTTTAGAAAACACAGGTTTTGATGGTAACAGGATCTGTGCCATTATTGTAAGGATACCTCTTATTATTTGTAAGCATTTGTATTATTGAGAAAAAAATGTAAAGACAAAGTATGGGCTATTTTTGAGAAAATTTATAATACATAGGAACTGCTATAAAGTATCCCCAAAATTGGAATATTGAGGAAGCAAGAAGAGCACTTTAGCATAGATTGCATGCTATTTGCTAATCGATTCTGGAATGTCACCTTCATTATAAGGCAGAGACCGTATTCAAGGCAAATCATGTTCGCACTGGTACCAACGAAAGTGTTACCTACTAGAACCCCTTTAGAGAAGTGGATTGGAGAGCGACCAGTCATATCACATCCATGCACCTTCTGAAGCTGAGCCTGAATAACAATCTACATAAGGGAAAATTCTAACTGCGTAGCTTTCCTGTGAACTTCATTGGAAATTTAAACTGCTCAGATTTACATATGGGATCATGAGGAAAGAATCACTTACATCTCCAGGGATGTTAATTTCCTTGAGATTCAATTCCAAAAACTTGTTCAAAGATTCCTCATCTAAATAAAATGCGGTCAAAATCCTTCTGAGAGAAACTGATGATTCAGGAATCTTACAATATATAAACTACTCTATTCGAAGGATGACAAAAATACTCTTATACTCAATTTTGTTGATGCTGATTGGGGTAAATACAACATCGACAGAAAGCCCTTCTGAAGGTACAATTTCAACATTTTATGTTTGCATTATCATGGTGTGCTCGGAATTAAGACATTTCTTCACTTCTTGGGACAAGTACATGTGACTCAAGCAAAAACTCAAAGAAGCAATGTACCAGTCAAGTTTAACTTGAGACTTGATAACTTGAAGAACTGACATGAGTTGGTACATTGCCTTGGAATCCACTTTGGTGCGAGTTCACTTTTTAGTGTCTCTGTACTTGTCTGCATTTCACTTTTGACATTCTTGCAGTCAGTCCATAGTTATTAGCCCAGGTTGCCCAGCCAAAGATCATTGGTCTTGCAGTCCATTTACCACTTCATAACCAAGTACCCAATCTGCCATGGTTTTTGTTGAACATTGTATTTCATGCAATGCTCCCTGGTGGACTCAGGTGGGTATTACTCCCTCCTCAGAGAGCACTTCAAACACCACCCCAGCTCTCATTCCTCTGTCCTTCCATTATGTGAATGACACACCATCCTGCAATGAAATCCTGAGAACCAGTTCTCAGACATGCCCATGGTGACTTTGAGTGCAGCCCTTGGGAACCGATGGACTGTTCGAATGTTCACATGAACGGCTACTCGCCAGTGACGACACACATCTTTTGGTACAGTTTCGCTGACCATTTTATTAGCAATATACGATCATTATGGAGGGTATTCCTCCCATAACTATTCACTTCCACTGAAACAGAAAATGAGGGAAATCTGACACTTAATATGTCGGATTTCTCATATCTTATTCATAACATTAAACATTGTTTCTTCAATGTTATCCAATTTATACATTTGTTTTGTATTTCTTTTTAAGTATTACATTAGAAGGTCGTTAAAATACACGATAAACTAATTGACGCTAATCCATAGACACCAAACAGGGTGCCAAATCTAATTTCTGGTTAGGTAACAATGCATAAGATGTTCACAAAGGAACAACAGATTTAAGTTGAATACATGTTAGACACAGAGTGAATGCCATTTTGGTATATACAGTTTTTGAGACAAAATTATTTGAAGTATATTGAATTTTCTAAATTGAGAATAAACAAATCACATTTATACATGATATTGAAGTTATTTGTTGAACACAAATAGATTTAAAAAATTGAACACAAATTCAAAATTAATAATTTTAGTTGAAATTATGTAAATAATACATTATTTTTAAAGTAGTGTGGGTGGGTATCACCCCCTAAGAAGATGTCACCTTGGGGTGACCCAACCCCTCCTGACATTGTCGTTCCAGGAGAGGTGGCTCAGGGCATCAACTGCCTCTGACTGGTTTTGACACTAGTTAGATAGCGAGGTCGAATTCAGTCACTGCCTAGAGGAGACTTCTAGCAGCTGGCTGCTCAGAACGGTTGTTGTCCGATCAATACCAGGTAAATGCTGATACAGTACCCTAACAAACAAGCCACGAACCGTGCGCAATCTTTCCTTCCCCTTCCTTGTCCGATCTTCACCTCTTACTTACACTCACTTACATGCACTACTCTAACACACATCAGGGGCTTAAGAGCTTGTCCTGGCTTGGCAGTGCCCCACTGGTGGGAGATACCTATTTAGGGAAAACCCCGCTAGTCAAATCTCACCACCACCTGCCAAGAGAAAAAGACACACTTACGGGACTAATGACCTTAGCTGTTGACGCACCCAAAACACTAATTAATCAATCAATCCTGATATCAATGATTTACATTACCACTGAACTTTATAATTTAATACCACATGCCATTTGAGAACACAAATGCTTTAAATAATTACTGAAGATTCTCAAAATATCAAAGTTTGAGTAAATGAGCTCTATGGTAAAAAATGGTTTTAGATAAAATGAGGTATTTGAGATCATTGGTTGATTTTGTTTTTGTTGTCAATGCTGCTTGTTATAATTTTCGTTGTTTTTTTTTTATTGTTAGAGAAAGGTTCATTAGTACATACAAGGTTGAAAGATTTTAAGCAAGATTGAAAGACTTTAAAGTTGAAAAAACAATATTCATGTTCCTATAGTAATGAATGGTGTTTAATGTAATAGAGATGGAAACATTTGGTAACAGAAAATTCATTGGCCATGGATGTATCAAAAACGCCAAACAAGGGATTGCTGCAATAATCATCAGCTAACCTAATAGAAATCAGGAAAGAACGATTCTCTGACATACGGGCACAGTGCTAAACTGATCATCGACACTGCTGCTGTCTCATTAAAAAGGGTGGCTAAAGAAGAGGATTCATAAAAATAAAAAGTGAATCACTTACTTTTGAGAGCCACTTCCTGACTCCTAATGAGGGGATACTTTCCACAGTAAAATGATACAGATGGAAACAATCTAGTGCCCTGCATTTTTAACATGAGCATTGGAGTGTATGAATGCAGGGGAATGTATTTATTTGATGGCATCAGACAAGATATGATAGTTCTAAATGATGTGTCGAAACCGACCTTCAGACTCTCCAGAAACAAAGAAATAATTCTGAATATTATGCTGACATCTAGAGAGCATACAGCCTGAGAGACTGACGGATGATTGATGACCTCACTAGCAGTGATCATCGACATGCCATTCTGCCTGTGGATGAAAAGCATTTCAGAAAACCAAAATGAGGAACCTGGGTTGGAATGTCAACACGCTACACCAGCTCCAACTGGTAGATGCAACGTGAACCAGCGAGAATATTTCAATGCATCCTAAATATCGGTGCTGAGGGAAATTTGTTTTTCTACTTGTGGCCTACGAACCATCAATGCTATACAAGACAAACTCCGAAATGGCCTTATGGCACTAGTGGCCAAAAGAGTGGGGATGAAGAGAAACTCATTTATAGCTCAAATAGGCCCCAAAAAAAAAGACCGAAACCTGAAGCAGTGCTGCATTCACCCTTCACAAGGAGGCCAAAAAGTAATTGAGAAGGGCAATCAACAAGAGAAAATCCTAGTCTTAAAAGTTTCTGATTGGTGAAATAATCAAGAGCCACGAGGATAAGGTTACACAAAAAAATGGCTCAAAACCAATGTTGATTCCATGAGGCTTGTTATGGATGCATTGTACCAACACGCACAAGATGATATTTCAGTAATCCCACTCTTTGAAGATCAAAATCTCATAAGTAGCTTCCAGCCTGCAAAACAGACACGTTCAGCACCTGATGGCATCTAAGTTCTCAACACAATGCCACAGGAATGTACGAGTATGATGCCCTCAATCTTTCCTAAGCAAAGGAAAAAACTGACTTTTTCTTGTGGACAAGGATAAATACCTCATTTACTGTCGCTCTCAAGGTACTTTCAACAGAGCTGGGATGCTACTAGAAACGTAACTGAAACAATGTCTGCTAATAGCGATTCATGCTGGTGGAGATCTGTGCGTAAGACAATTTGGTATCACTACTGAATAGTCAACAACCTCAGTACCGACTCACCCAAAGTTATAGTGGAAGCCATCGAAGGTATGTGGCAAAAAAACCATCTCTCACAATACGAGAAGATATAGACATAGTAAAACATGGCGTAACCTATAACCCTAGAGATTTCTAGAGCATTACAAACTTTAAAGACATTCCCCTGAAAGTTGACTTTTAGCCTGTGATTGGGAACCTAAAGCATTGTATCTCCAGTTCTATGTTAGATAACCATCTGATTATTTTTATAATTTAGAAATGTATATCTAGTGCATGAATCAAAACTAAACATTGTAAATTTGTAATAATGTTTCAATATGTAAATACTAAAGGCACCAATACTGCGTTTGTTCAAGCACAAGTTCAAATCATATATTATCATGAGAAAAAAGAATTGACACAATACAGATGGTAGTTTCAAAGTTATGTGACTGTGTTTTTTCCAAAAATAAATTTTCAAAAATTCTTTTCTAAATGTTTTTGTTGTATTGTAGCCAATAATCTTTCATAATTATTCCATATTTGAAAAAAAGTTGTTAAACAATATTTAAAATTTTTGCTTGTTTGTGGTAAAACTTAAATTTAAACACATTGCTTCTCAAGTTTGGTCTTTGTTCATGAATTATTACATTAAAAACTAGTAGTGCTACAGAATGGCAGTCTTTCCTTACATCCTTAGCCTGCATGCACAAATTCATTGAAAACTTTGGAGCCATTAAAAAAAAATATGTTTGAGCGTTTTTGAAAAGGCACATTTAGATGCATATTTTCATGCAAAACTTTTGTATTTTCAAGAAACATCATAAGAAATAATTTGCAGGAATGTACTCACAAATGCGATAATGTATACGAAATGCCTGTGATATAAAAATTGACAACCTAAAAGATATTCAAAATATATTTTTAATTTTTGAAAAACCAAAAGAACACATGTCATCGAAGGCATGTGGCAAGAAAACCATCTCTCACAATACGAGAAGATACAGACATAGTAAAAGAAGGCATAACCTATAACTCTAGAGATTTCTAGAGCACTGTAAAAGAACACACCAATGTGGCATTTATGTCATTTTATTCAGTCCCTTTAGCTCTATCTGTCCAAAAAATATAAAGAAAAAATTTGGAGCCCTTTTTGAGTTTCTGAAAATGTGGAATTTTGTGCTCAGGAAGGATTACTTAATTCAAATTAATGTAAAAACTCATCACCTTCACTATCACCTGTCAACAGTGGTAGGAAATGCACACTATGTTACAAATTCTATAACATTGGAAACTGAATAAAGGGATCTTGGAATGGTTTTGACTAGAGTACATCTTCTGAAGACCATATATCGCTGTTAGCAGAGTGAATCAGCTTTTGAGATTATTTAGGAGAAAATATAAAGAATTGCACTGGGACATTGGAATCATTGCATTTCAACGTTATAGAGCTGGCAATGACGTACTCACCAACAATGTACCATTACGTTGATTTGAAACTGTACAAAACAAATCTTTCAGAATTGTGGCATGCAATATGGGACTTGCAGACCCCTTTATCAACCACAAATATGGAGACATATCAATGAGTTTAGGTATTGCATATCTCAAATCGTGTAGGAACGTTTGAATTTGTTTTTGCTGAGAAAAGTATTCAACGGCAACAGTGATTTCCCATTTTGTTACAACAGTTAGACTTAAAGGGTCCCATCATTTCCTTCAAGATTAATTAGCATATTTTGGTGCCATCAGTACAAGAACTTATTTTCCAAACAATCCAATTAACAGACTGTGCAGAACTGGTAATAGTAGTGAATGGAAATTTATTGGAAGTATAAATAGGGTAGTTTTGGTTTTGCTTTAATTTTATTTTTGATGTTTTAAATTGTTTTATCCCGTGTCTGTAAATTGTATCCTATGTCTTTATATAATTGAACAAGAGACATGAAAATAATTTACGTAAAACGGACAAATTTTCTGTGTATTGGTAATAAATTAATTGTTTCCCGTTTACACAGGCAACACTCATATCTGACTCTAGGACCAACAAATAGTGCGCAATAGAAAACTCATTGTCAAATTATCAAGTGCTTTGGACAATTATAACACACGTAATGAACAAAAATATCAAGTTTCATATGGTTACCATTGGCCATTAGGTAGGCCGTTTGATGGAGGCTGCAAGCTGACATCCTCCCAGTGAAGAGTCAATCTAAACCGATGACAGTAGCACCTTACCAAGTGCTCAATCTGTTTTCAGACTAGTTGACTGAGGTGTGCTGCATTTCAAATGCTTTTTCATTTCAAAGCCAATTTTATACTACTTACATTTTCATCTGGTTTGAAACAGTTTAGTAACAGAAAATCTTGCATGTTATAACATGCTTTCAAATTATGTTTTTAAATGCTAAGTTAAATGCAAGTTAAATTTTTAGCTTTGTAATAGACATATACGGTCATTCCCCAATGTCCTTTGTTGATATTCCTGGAAAACATTCTTGCAAGTTCTCTACAAAAAATGCATTATTGGTGACAATTTCCAAACCACTAGGATGGAAAAGGCCCAAGACAAAAGCAATTTTTTCTAAAAGTCAAAAGCACTTCAAATTTGGCCGGTATCAGTTTTTGGTTAAATATTATCTTATTAAAAAAAGATGAAACTCACAACATAGCACGTCATATAGGATACTATGTATAGAGTTCTGTATAATACACATTTGTAAATAAATATCAGTCTATTTGGTATCCAGTGCCTAAACAACTACTCTGAAATCTATGTTGACACTATTGCAGATGAATCCCAGGAGTCAACAGCCTGGGATGATTCACGTTCGCCTGGACGTCAACTGTCACAACTGCCCGTTGCCTCTTCCACCCCTTGCTCAGGAATACCTAACGATTGATGGTGGCATTTCAAAATTTGAATATTTACGTCTTTGAATACAAACTATCTGCTGGTTTCATAAAAGTACGAGCATCCAATATTGAAAGTGTTGTGTCAGCACCCTTCCTCATCAGGAATGAAAATTGGAAGGATTACAAAACTTAAGATCCTAGATACATAACTCAAACATGTACTATTATACACAAACATGCACAAATTAGTTTACCAAAATTCTTTTGTTATAACAACAAAACACATTGTTGTGGAAAATAAAATTTAAAAAGATTTTTATACCCGCTATAAAAGTTAAGGATTTAAATGTTGCTTCCGCATTTTAAGAAATGCAGGTTAGAAATAAATGGCGAAATAAAAAGTGAAAGACTGACTTCCCCTTAATTCAAGAAAGAAAACATTAATGGCTAAAAACATTACCTCTTGAATCACAGATAAAGTCATTTACAATAACCAACTAAAATAATTTCAAGGATCATTGAAAAAGAAAAAATTTTGTTATCAATACAAAACATTGTATTTCACATCGCCATTACTTTCAACATTTACATCTTGCAATACAATTACAATTCACATTCATTCATTCACACACCACAGTAATGAACTGAGTTACAAAAACTAACTCACATGTTCACTTCTATTACTTTTTATAACAAAAATTTTTAAATTATAAATATAACAATGAAGACAAATGCATAGGATTCATGAAGAATACTTTGGAAGTCTCATGTTCCACTTGGAAAAAAGGCAGCGCCTTAAAATATCGAATTCTACACACAGAACATTATCACTGAGGTCAACATTTTCAACAAAAGAAAAATGTATGATAAAGGTACCCTTGATCATTACGGAACAGAAATGATTTTAGAAGACAATAATTGCCATCTAAAGAAATGAAATGAAATGAAATGAAATCAATGGCAAAAATCACTGTTGGAGAGTCTACTATAATTCGTCATGATCACCATTTTCTTCGGCATCTTCATTGTCATATGATTCAGTCTCGTTTTCATCACTTTGCGACTGTTCATCTTCTCCATCATCGTCATCTTCATCTGGCTGTTAAACATTTAACAACAAAGTAGGAATTATGACTTCTCTCTTTTTTCTATTGTCACACTTTGCAATTTTAAATATAATTAATAGAACTAAATAACATCAACAAATATATTGCAGCATTTTATGTTAAATACAAAATCAACTACAAATTTGAAAATGACACTAGAAATTTGTATCATTCCCTCTGAAAAAATAAGCATAGATTGAAACATTCACTCATTAAAACTTCAATTGTAACAATACTTGAAACAGAAAAGTATAGCAGACAACCTTTGACATTCTACCGCCATTGTTTTATATCAGTATTACACATTGCTTCACAGTAAAAACTCTTGCTCCAGTAACAAAAGATCTTCAAATTTCTTTAAGTGGAAATATAATTCTCTGAGAACACCCACTTTCTCCATTTCTCAGCTTTTGCAATGAATATTTACCAAATATTTATTTAATTGATATATTATCGATTACTTGAGTTAATGGAAATCAAAGAAAAAAAAGGGGGGGAAATGCAAACAAAATTGCCGTTTTAGATTTGACGGCAATTTCAACAAATACTTATCCCTTCACGCAATATATCCAAAATTATGAATAACACTAACACTTTTCAATAAAAAAGCCTTTCAAGATCATAGTTTTAAAAAATAAATATTTATCAGCACAAAGCTGCACACTATAAAATTCTTTGAACCTACCTGTTCCTCTAGTGGAATACCCAATGTCTTCCTCATCATTACTTCTACGTTTTCTGCAAATTCAGAGGTTTCTCTAAGCATGAAACCAGATCGCAATGTAGCTACAAAGAAAGAAAAATAACATTAGCCAACAGTTAAAAAAAAAAATTAAAAAAAAAAAAAATTTAAAAAACACATGGTAAATTTCAAAAGTCAATCAACACAACAGCCCATCGCTACTCAAGTACCACATTAAAAGTCTTATGAAGAACACTGAAGTTGGCACACTTTCTTTTCTACATACTATGGTATAAGGAAGATGTTTATCGGGATACCTTACATGAAGTTCTTTTAACATTTTGGACGTTTGCCAATATATACGGCTACATTTTCTTTTTTTTTTTTTTGTTATTGCTTCAATCAAGGAATTCGCTTTTATAAACACGGTATATAACATGGTATATGTCATTAAAATATTTGACATTTTGAAAATTGCAAAAGTCCTACAGCTCCAATATGACATCCAGAGATTTCTTTCTCATTGCAATTTCTCTCTCAGTTGAAGATTTTTGAATGATGTTGATTAATAACACTAAGGTGACATAGCTTTAGTAGGGCACCCATTCCGATTACATTTCCCCCAAACATTTCTTAAGTTAATCTACTCTACATATACTAGTAAAAAAAAAATTTCAGGAAAGGTTACATTACCTGTTTGGAACATCATGACTGCAATCTCCTTTGCAGAAGCATCCTTGGGATCATCTTCTACTCTCCTGAGCAGTTCTTTGATCAACGGATGTCGAGGATTTATTTCTAGAGTTTTCTTTTGATTGAGATAATAACTGCGTTGAGGATCATCAGACTTTTGATGAGCATTAGAAACTGCCAATCTCTCCATATTTCCTGTCCAACCAAACATGGATGCCACAAGAGCACAAGGAGAACCAGATAATCTTTCAGAAATTGCTGCTTTGGCTATTTGATCTTTCAGTGCTTCTTCAGATAACCACCTGTACAAAAGTAAGTGTTACATCTTCACCACTCTCTCAAGTCACTTCCATTAGCTTTATGAAAACTACTTACTTTAGAAGAGGTTCGTATCTTTCTTTTAAAGAATCTAATTTCTCTTTCGCCTTTTCATCTCCTTCAGATAAGCTAAATCCTTCCTTTGCCACATTTTGGAATTTTTTACCATCAAATTCAGGGAGAGCTGATATGCAATATTCATCTACAGCTTCAGTTAAATAAAGTACTTCATAGCCCTTCTTTAAAAGACGTTCAACAAAAGGAGATTTCTCCACCTAAAGAAACAATAGTAAGATTTTTTAAGAACTCTAAAATTTGAGATCTACTGGTACAACTTGTTTCCCCAACAATGATTTCAAATTAATTTTTAATTACACTAATTATTCCTCATATGAGAACATTTTTTCTTTTAGAAAAGAATGTTATTTAAAATTCATTATAACTGGACAATCTTACAGCAAAAACATTTTATTAATTCTGTAACTAATAATTTTATTTTAAGCTTTAATATAAAATAAAAGCAACTACATATAGCGTTATTTTCAAAACTCAAAAACCACATATAAACCTACTTCAGACAAATTGGCTCCAGCAATGTAATATATGTGCTCCTGCTTCTCTTTCATTCGGCTCACATAATCTGAAAGATTTGTCAAGCCTGGCTGATTTGACGAATGGAACATAAGTAGTTTAGCAAGGCGTGTGCGATTTGAAGGATCTTCAATAACTCCTAGTTTCATGTTGGTAGAATACTCTTTCCAGAACTTTTCATATTCATCCTTATCAATTTTCTTGAACATATCCAATGCTTTACGCACCAGCTTCTTTTTGATTACCTAATCAAAAAACATGAAATGGGGAAGTGAATCATTATCAGTAACATCAACTTACAATTATATTCAAATAATATTGTACTATTGTATAAAACAATTACCTTAATCAATTTGTGTTGTTGCAGAGTTTCACGAGAAACATTGAGAGGAAGGTCATCTGAATCAACAACACCTTGGACGAAACTCAGATAGTTAGGCATCATGTCATTGAATTCATCAGTAATGAAAACACGACGAACGTAGAGCTGCAAGGAAATTTATGATGTCAGTAAAGCCCAAAGAATATAATTGCAAATCAAATGAAGTTCTGGTATAAAAAGTCAATATATTTCAAATACTTCACATTTTTTATTTAGAAAACATTTGAGACTCCTAGACTACCAAATTACACTATTATTTCTTCAAATCACTCACTCTCATTAATCGGTTATTATTAATTTATAGTATAAACAATGAATATTAATATTATCTTAAATTTAATACAACAAACGCTTATCATCCATCATTAGTTCATTACTTCATTTTTTAACGAGTTGCAAATATTCTATCAACTATAGTTAGTTTTCTCATCTAATGCGACAATCATGCGAGGGCAAGGATATAGGAGCAAAGTGAGAATTGCATGCTTCGTAAGAGTGAGCTACATAGTATTTCTACATGTGAGGAATCAGTGGGTGAATAAAAATCATCAAAAAATGTGTTTTCATTAGTATAAATTTCAATTTCAATAAAATTAAAAATTATACTCTGATTTGACCCACAACAAAAGGTTCATGGCACACAGCAGTCATATCGTAATATTATGACCTGTAGCAATTTACTTTTAAAACAATGCATACACAAAACCAAACAATTGTCCACATAAATATTAGGTAAAATATTGTGATGAAATTATAGCAGCATTTAACACATTGGTTGCCATGCAAGACCATATGGTCTCATAGGCATATTCAATTTTTTTTAAAACAAGACCATATGGTCTTGTGCGTTGGCTTGTTCTTTTTATAATACTCGCCACTCATCGCACTGTTAACAACAAGAAAACAGTCACACGAGTCCATATGAATTCCTAAATTTTGGTAAATAAATTTAATTCTATACGATTGGTCGTTTCAATGGTCTAGCATGAAAAGAAGGGCGTCAATTAGTGTGGATACAGATGTAGTACATCAAAAACTGTACGGTACTAAGGTGTTGTATAGAGTGAATGCCCTTGACACAGAATGTGTTAAACAAATATAGAATACTATGTCACAAACATAATTCACATAATGAAAAATATTTCTTACACTATCTTATTAGTCACAATTTGACACTAATTACTTAAGATAACCAATAAAATTACAATTCATTCAATCAAAATTGCTGTTCAGTACACAAAATTTAAAAAATTCAATATGCTCACAAAAAATTAATGCCCAAGACAAAGTTAGAGAAATAACCAAGACTAAAACATCAAATACATGTTTTGGTCAAGACCTTTAACATACCTACCTTAATATTATCAGTCTTGCTTCCATATCGATTAAAGCTTTCACTAGGCTGAGCTTTGGGTACAAAAAGCAAGGATTTAAAGGTGACTTCCCCTTCAGCAATAAAATGCACCTTAGTCAGAGGTTCACTAGAATCTTTAGTAAGAGACTTATAAAATTCATTATATTCATCATCACTTATATCTGCCGGCCTGCAAAAAAGATCATTACATTTAAATAACATTGTATCAGTGAATAAATTTGCAATACTGTATTTTGGTTTGTAGATTGGAAATGAAACTTACACAAAAGATGCCAGTACACACTTTTATCCAAATGTGTTGACTTCAATAACAGACTTTCCCCTCCCAAACTAGACTGCACTATCTCCATTTTACTTTCAAAAATATTTGGAAAAATAAATTTTTCGGGACCTTACATTACCTCCAAAATATAAGGATTGACATAATTGAAATGCTAAACCTGAGAGACCATGACAACTAGCTTTTGCTTAATAGAATTTGATTACATTGGTAAACAAAATACCATTTTTATCTTCAAGAACTTTGTTGGTGATCTGTACGGAGTTCAAAAATTTCAATAATTTTCCCACAATAAGAAAAGTTTTTTAGTGACAGCAAAAGTAAATATAATGGTCACAGCCCATATACAAAAAAAAACTAAACAAATGTTTAATATATTCAAAACTTATCACAACTAATTGAAGATTTTCAGAAGTATTTTGCCTCCATAACTTCCCTTGAACCAATGAACATTTATATGTATCCTCACCACCCTTTCCGAAATTGATACCATCATTGCCACCTCTTCTTTCAGAGTGTCCGTCTAAATTAACGAGTCCTACCATGCAAAAATCTTAATATCAGGGTTTACTACACAATAGGACTTCACAAATCTGATGCAAAACTTGAGAAAAATGTAAAATCGCAAAAACATAAAAAGGAAGAAAATTATATATTACTTATATGGATGGTTTGCCGGGACCACTTAATTAGGATGTAAATTTCGGGAAAGCATAAAATTGAAGTTTTACTGTATCTCCTTGCCTCCATATCCTTATTAAAACTTTTGGGCCATCAATTACTCTCACATATTGTTCTATTTTCAAAAGGGTAACTTACTTGCGAGTCCAAATTGGCTTGCTATCATTAAGAACCTCCCAGTCCCAAACGGTTTTATCTATCTTCTTAGTTTTTGGTTTGTCCTCTTGTTTTTCTTCTTCCACCTTTGCATCATCTTCCTCAGTTGCTTCTTCTTTCTCTTCCTTCTGTGGAGCTTCTTCATCATCAATAGGTTCTTCCACTTGAATTGTCTGAAAGATGAAATAAAAGTGAAAATTTTGAATAATATAATAATTTTTAATTTTATAACTCTAGTAAATAAATAATTAACAGTATTGTTGCCATATAGAGTACAAACATTAAATCCAGCATGTGCATAACAAGATATTACCTTACTAGTCCACAAGTAAATGGGGAAGTTGATGAATTGGGAATATTTCTTCACTAGATTTTTGATGGTATCTTGTTCCAAGAAATCATATGCTTCCTCCTTGAGATGAAGGCTGAAACAAACCATTAAGATAGTCTATAGAAAAGGTGACAAAATCACAAATAATACCTTGTACTGTAAAACCCATCTTTTACTTTCTTGGAATTAAGGTTTTCAATAGAATTTAGCAATTTACACTGATTTTTGCCTGTTCCTTCAATTCCTCTATGTATTGCCAGTCCCTTCAATTTCATTGTGAATGTAAAATTGTAACTGCTTTTGCACTTTTGAAATTAAAATTTCCTTTTACATTTGTTCTCCTGACTTTGAAAATGCAAAGAATAAGATGGCTAATGATCTTATGTACTTGTTTGATTCCAAGCCCTAGAAATACTTAACAGTTTGTAATCAAGAAAAGACAGAATTAGTAGTTCTTAATGTCCTGGGCCACAAAACAGCTGAATGAGCATATTTTGAAATGCAAGGTCTAGATGCCCAATTATTTTTCATTAAAGGTTAATATGGCTAAAGTCTAGTATACAGTACAATTTAAGGAAGTTTCTTTTTATTAATAAGCTCTGAGAATTAATGTTCTGAATCATACTACACAGAGAAGTAATTTCCCATCATCTTTTTCTTTGACCCTAAAGAGATCAAGTGATCACAAATGTCAATCTACGTAGGAAACTGGGAACCAGTGTATCCAGTATCTCACTGCAGCCATGGACAAAGACATCAAAATGTTTTGAATCATCATTTACCTGATTTGGGTTCCACGCTTCAACGAATTGCCACGAGGATCTTCAACAATGCTGAAACTTGAAGCATCAGATTCCCAGATGTATTGCTTATCATCATTGTGCTTAGTAGTAACAACAACACGGTCAGCAACTGGAAGTAAAATAAAAATCAGATCCAGAAAACAAAAAAATATATCCATACCACTAATCCAAATATTTAGTATAAAACTTACCCAAAAAGGATGAATAAAAGCCAACACCAAATTGGCCAATTAAATCATTCATATCTTGAGACGTAGTTGATGCATCCTGCATTTTATTCAAGAAATCTGCTGTGCCCGATTTTGCTATTGTACCAAGATTATTAACCAAATCATTTTTGGTCATACCAATACCAGTATCAATAATGTGAAGAATATGATTATCTTTATCAGCCTAGAAACAAAATGTAATGTAATGATTTGTTTCATAAAATGCGTAAGTACAAGAGATATCATTACAACATTTACCTTTATCTTGATATTTAGTTCCTCTGTTGAATCAAGAACTGTTTTATCAGTGAGAGAAAGGAGACGAATTTTATCCAAAGCATCAGAAGCATTTGATATCAATTCTCTAAGATATATCTAGAAAAAAAAATATCCATATTAATCAGAGGTTGAAAATAAAACAACAATACATTTCATACACACAAGTTAGTTGATAATTTAAATATCTGACAATACTTCGAAGCATTTGGAATTAAATGATTCAAGAACTGAAGAACACTTATACATGCATCACACATTT